GCCGCCATGTCGTGAAGACGCTGTGTGTTTCGTTGTGAAAGCGAAACTACTTTGTTTGGCCTTCCAAAAGAGGACGATCATCATCACGATTCGTCATGCCTGGAGCTGACCCATGCTGGTCGCTAATGATATACATCAACTTCGCACTGTGGATCACCGGATAGTCTTTCTCCGTGGACGAAGCGGAGTCCAGCCCGGGCTCGTCACATGTGGTTGCCGCCGGCCGCTCCTTCGTCGAATCCGCCGGCCGCACCGTTCTCAAGCCCGCCCGCCTTCGCTCACTCAAGCCAGCCTCCGCTCACTCTAGCCTGCTCTAGTTCCAGAACAGTTCAACCCAAATATTCAGATGTGTCCAGCGCATTTTATGGAGGACTGTTTCCTGATCCTGGTAGAGTAAACTACAATGCCGGCTGTTCTGACTCACAGACTGTAAGTACGTTTTTTATATTTAAAGAATTTGCCACTAACGATTCAAACGCGAGTTTTGAGCAGTGTAGAGTAGCGCTTGTTGTTTGTCATTTCTCCGATCACAAATGCAGACATGGTTTTATGTTTACGCGGCACGATGCAACGCAACGCGTAACAAGACCGTATAAGTCATTATAATCCGTAATTATGCAACAAATGCCTCGTTTATAATGGGTTTTAATGTTTTTGTCTCGTCGCTCCGGCCGGACAGGGCATTGGGAACTGTGATGCATTTTTTCAGTATTTGATAAGTACAAAAAAAAAAAAAGAAAGAAAAAAGTATTAAGTTAAACAATAGCATTTATTTGAAAAATTTCTTGTAACTATGTAAAAGTCAGTGCTGCCATTTTTTAATCAACTTATTTCGTTCTTATTAAAAGAAATTACATTTTATTAGGCAACAAAATCTTACTGACCCCAATCTTTTGAAAGGAAGCGTAAGCTATAAAATACTGCTGCTTCTTTGAAAATATTTACTATATAGATTAATAACACGACACATCATGTAAAGTTGATGATTCCATCTATTTAACCTAGAAAGAGTAAGCCATAGGTGAAAATGAAACTGACCTGAGAACTGCGCACAACAGGCGGCTCCTGGTAAAGGGTGGCACTGATTGGGGATTGACTGTTTGCTGCAGTACTTCGCAACATCGGTCATAACAGTCTTCAGACCCTCTACATTCACTGGGGGGACAAAAATCAGCTGAAGGTAAAGCATAATTATTCTAATGGCCATGCTATGATGGTTATGTTAATACAACCATGATCATAGTTGCTCTAGCTAGACTTTATGCTTTAAATGTAATACAATGAGTGCAAACCTTGTCCAGGATTCATTATGTAAAAGAGACTAGGGCTGATCACTGCTGCCACCCTCGGTTGGAAAGTGTCAGTGCAAGACAGCTCCAATGTCTTCCAGTTCAAAGGAAAAGAGCCGACTAGATGACAGTAAACATTTAATTATACACAAGAACAACAAAAACCCGACTTGCATATTACTAGTAATAGCAATTACAAACAGTCTTGATAAGATACTTAAAGCGTATATAAAAGGTTTTAGCATCAGTTATGCTAACTTACTTGATGAGGTTGAATCTTCTGTGTCTTTGGCAACTCCCTTGTTCACTTTCAAAGGCTCTTCAGCAGGTGGATTCTGATCAATGGATTTAAGGGTGGGCAGATCCTCAATCTGATTGGTTGGTTTAGCTGGCTGCACTGGAGGCTGTTTCACCTGTCCATAAGGTTTAGCTAGGTGCTCTGAGATTAGCACAGCAGCAATGCTTTTTCCAGAGCTCTCCAGATTCACTCCATAACCCTTCTCAGTGATGGACAGCACTTTGCCACTCAACGGCTGACCAGCACAAAGACCCTGAAACTTATGCACTGCCTCTTTAGTCCACTGACCCTCCACTGGTTCCACTCCTGCACACACATATGTACAACGCATTTTAAATTTTATATACAGAATACATACTTGCATATTGAGAATACTAGAGCCCGACCGATAATTCGTTTTGCTAATTTTATCAGCCGATATGAGCCTGTCACAGATATATCGGCATCGGCGAATATGAACAACAAACACCTATATGAATTTTTTTTTTTACAGAATATTTAACGCAGATAAAATGCTTTTAAATGGTGTAATTACTTGCTACATTAGCAGGGCCCTATGATTTCCACGATGCAGAAAACGTGGATGGAATCGTGGAATTTAGTCATAAAAATTTAATTTACTATATAATGCGGAATTTCACAGAATTCGTCATTTTTGACGGGGAATAAAAAAAAAAAAACAGGTCAGTACACTTAAATCAAATTGCAATATGGACTAGTGTCTGTGAATATTAAACAGCAAAAAGAAATTTAAATAAAAATCCTCGTTCTTAATTCAAGTTATATTTTGTTCTATTTGTGTTTGAAGTTATTTCTAATCAGTGAAGTGAAGTTTATCGTTTAGTGGACTGATGTCGGACTCATTTTGGATAAAGTTTATTGTTAAATTGTTAAATACCCTGCCTCCATTACATATCTTTGTCATGTCATTAAAAGGGTTTGATCACATTTCAGTGAAAATTACAAAAAATATGTTATGTATATAATATTCTGTTTATGTATATACTGTATTTTACCAGTCAAAAGTTTAGAGACACGAATGGAAGTGTGTCCAAAAGTTTGACTGGTACTGTACTATAATATACACATATCGCTATCAGATTTATTTTACTCCCTAATATCGGTATCAGCCCCCAAAAACCCATATCGGTCGGGCTCTAGAGAATACATATTTGTTTACGGTAGTTAATGAGTGGAAAACATAATTTAAAAACACATTTTGAATGACTCATAGACAAACAGACAGCAACAGAGAAAGCAAACCTGCAAGCCAGCAACGAATTGCTTGGAAAGGCAGTTTGAGCAGGTTTGGTGTGATGGCCTTTAAACGTGCTGCCTCCACCTCACAGGAGTTCCCATAGTCCACAAAATAAACTCTGGCCTTACCCTCTCCACACACTTCTAATACCATGGCCCTGTACCAGTGGGCATCTCCTGCAAACAGGGAGCAAAAACATTGAAAATTGAATCTGTACAATAATTTGTCTTTTTTTCCTGAAAAAAATATTTTATTTAGCAAGGATTAGGGTTGCAAAGTGGCGGAACATTTCCGGAAACTTTCCAAAAATTTCATAAAGTTTCTAACAAAAAATGTAAAAAAAATAATAGAAATTACCCAAAATTTCTGGAAAGTTTCAAAAATTTTATGAGCATTTTCCACCCTTTTGCAACCCAAGCAAGGATGCATCAATTTAATGAAAATGGACAGTAAAGACTTTTACAATACATTGTTGTTAGAAATTATTTCCATTTTAAATAAATGCGGTTCTTTTGAACTTTGTATTTATAGAAACAGAAAACATATTACACAATATTACCATTGTTACAGTATTTTTGATCACATAAATGGAGCCTTGATAAGCATAAAAGTCTTCTTTCAAAAGCATTAAAACAATCATACTGACACCAAACTTTTCAAAACATATCTAGGATCTTAAGTACAGTCTCAGCTGTCAACTTTTCTGCTTCCAGTAAATTAAGTTTTGATTCAATACAGGGGAAAAAAAGGTGTCTTTTTGGTAGGGCTGCCCCCTAATAGTTGACTAATCATTAATCGACCAGAAGAGGCTTGGTCGACCAAAATTTTACTAGTCGCTTAGACGCAGAAAAAAATCCATATTGGCGAAGTCACGCAGATCATTAACGGCTGGTCTATGGTAATACAGTGCATCGGGCAGGACATCCAAACGCTCGCCTATCATTCATCCACCACAAATATGGCTTATCATCTGAAATATGTAAGTATCAGCAACTTTTACATGGCTGCTCAATCTAATGTTAACCTAGAGATATGTGCGCTGTTCAAGTGACTGTGAGGAGTGTGGAAGCTAAACAGCAGTGCACACTCACTGCAGGACAAATGGAGGCACCGGTGCGCTCACTTACTCCTAAAATACTGCATAATTTTTGCTCATACAGCTAAGAGTAATACATCTTTCAAATCTGTAAAGACTCTACGTTTATTTGTGTGCACTCACAATAACAACAATGCGCTTTTGTAAAATAATGAAAGCAATGAGGATGCGCTTTCTGCCGTCTCGGTCTCTGTGAACTTGAGCGTGAAACTCCGTGTAAATCTTTGCTTTACAGACATTAAAGGGTTAGTTCACCCAAAAATGTTGTCATTAATTACTCACCCTCGTGTTGTTCGAAACCTGTAAGACCTTCGTTCATCTTCGGAACACAATTTAAGATATTTTTGATTAAATGTGAGGGCTTATTCAAACTGATTTTTTTTTTTCATGAATATATGTGACCCTGGACCACAAAACCAGTCTTAAGTAGTGTTGTTTTTGGCGGCCTGTTTTAATTTTAGTTTTAGTCTAGTCTTTTTGTGAAGCTGTCATTTTAGTTTTTATTAGTTTTAGTCACGTTCATACTCTTTTTTT